TTTTTTTCCCCTAASGGGAAAACAWGATCTCAAGATCTGTGGACTTTTTTCCTCTGCACTGAGATTGCAACATACGAAAAACACTTGTGTAAAATTTTGTTAAAATATTTTCTTCAACATCAAGAGTTACAGTTACATTAAAAGGCATCATAAATAATCGTTGCATGAGGTGCACCCACATTGTTTCTAATTAGGGATTTCATTTATTTTAACCTTGASTCCTTTTCCACAGGCAGACCTTCGGGCCAGGTTTTCTTCAGCCTGCAGAGCTGATGCACGGAGAGCAGGCACCCCCTGAGGTTCAATATTCCTCCAGAGGGTTATATCCCGAGGAAATGCCATCCGTGGCACGGCCACGACCCGTTGGGAGCACTGCAGGTACACTTCACTTCAGTTGAATAAGCAGTAAAAGAACTGWTCCTTTTCTCTATCTGCTCTTGCACCAAGGTCACTGCTAAGATGTCATTCTCCTTCAGCTGTTACATGTGATWTGTGGTCCTTGTCCTCATTGCCAAAAAAAAAACTAACCCAAAGCGAAGTTGASTTTACTTCCATAGGACCTTGGAGAAAAAGGCAGGGCTTTGCCACTTTTTTAGTGTCTTACAAGCAGGGGTTATCACAAAGCATATTTTCACAAAACCCCATTCTCTAAGAATGGAAGATAACTTGTTTTAGATAGTACAATATGTACTAACTCTCCATTTTGAACTCCTTTTGTGCTACATCAACTAATTGGTGCATCCCAAATCAGCATGCTAAATAGCAAAAATTTTTAATACTTTTCTACCTCWATGTTTCTAATTCCTCTTTGTAGAATGGTATGCATTAAAGCAGTATCTCTTAGTTTTAGATTATATTATCTATTGCTGCTCTTCTGTATGAAATCACTTTCCCTGATTTGGTTGAGGTAATTTTTTTCCATAGCAGTCACCAGGGCTATCATGAATAAAATGCTAACATCACATGGCAGTTAAGCAGCAAACACTTCTAGCAATCAAAGATTGTATTGCTATGCAAACATCACAGTTAGWTTTCTCCCAGATGAGTATTTTCTTCCTTGGAAAATACTGTAAATATGATCATATACTTATGTCAGAAACCTAGTTTTGATAGCTGCTATCATCTCCCTGTAAATGTTAAATGAATGAGAATAGTAAGAAAGTAGTAAMTATTACAGCTTAATGGTGGTTATTTTATTTTCTGATTCACACTATTGYCTGAATGTTCATATGTATTCTGCTTTAAAGTTTTGAGGTAATTCATATATTTAGTTTCTGTTCCTCAGCATAACTTTGTGTAACTATCAAACTTCTCAGATATTGGAGGGTTTTGAGAGAAAAATGTGAAAGTGATCTAACTGTCCATCACGTAAATCACGCTGTTGTTTTTTGTCTTTTCCTCCCTTTTTGTGCATACACACAGTTTAATGTATCTCTGGGTTAAATGTGTTTCATTTCTAATGAATAATAAAATACTGTTTTAGTGATTTTAAGAATACAGACACAAATGACATTTCCCCGTGGGAGGAAATTCATGAAGAAGGAAAGCTGGCATGTCGTTACCCGTCTGTTGCAATTAACAGTGGCAGCTATCCTTGCATGTGTTTGAAAGCAGCAGGAGGGAGGGAAGGGAAGGAAAAGGAGAAAGGAGGAGGTTGGCTTTGAGGTTGGAAGGAGATACAGTGTGTTCTGACCTTCTCGTTAGCTAAYGACAGCATCGTGTAATAATTAACCACAGAGCAGAGCAGGGAGAAAGATAATTCCTATCCACTCTTAGTGGTGTGTTTTATCCTGCAGAGCCATGGAACAGGAGGCAGCCTGCAGAGTTAGGGTCTGGCCAGTGTGATGCAAATCAGCAAATATCTTCTTTGCTGCCGAGTAATTGATGTGAAGGCACTGCCAGAGCTTGCAGCAAGCACTGTTTGGAAAGGGCTGGCATGTTTTTGGGATGAAGAGTGGTCCATGTTAGAGATGCATGTGTCTCAGCCTGTTCTTTCAGTGYAGTGCCATGAAATGCATCACACTCATGTGAGCTGCACAAAATGCACGTAACTTTCCCATCTTTTTTTCCACATTGACAGCCTTCTTTCTGCTGATTTTTATTAATTGACAAAAACAGAGCTCTGTTTTCTTCTTGTCTCCCGCTTCGGACAAAGTTTTTATGTTACCATGTTTTCTGCCCTGCAAAACCTGACTGTGTATAAAGATGAAAAAAAAAAAAAAACCAAATATTTGCTTTTAAGGTTCTCAGATACAGCACCTCACTCAGGTGGGAATTGCTAGCAGGATCGGAGGTCAACCAGTGGAGATCCCCTCAGGCAGAGCAGGGCATGGCCAGCCGGGGGGGCCAGGGTGGCCCCAGTACCGTGGAGAGGATGAATGTGCTAGGCGAGATGCAGTGAGTACTGTGTTACACATTTGCATAGTTTCCAAAGTAGTGAAATGTTTGGGTATTTTTTTTTCTTGCATTACTGTTTGGAACTTTTTTCCCCCGCCCTGGAGTACTTTTAGTTGCTTCTCTGACATTCTTTGCTTTGCTCTTCAAATCCTTGTTAGCTCTTCTGACTTCTGCTTGCTGTTCTTTCACCTTCGCTTCTCTAACTGCTTTTTCGCATTTTACCCTAACCTTTTTTTCATTTCTCACTTGAGGCCTTCACCCATTAATTGCAGTTCATCCAGTTCTGCTTCTGAGCTCCAGCAGAGGTGGATACTGCTTTCCATTCCTTCTTTGAAATATGCCTCTGTATTTTGAGATCATTGTCATTGGAAAACATTGAATTAAATTGTCCCAKGCTACCATCCTACTTTGAATGCATTTAGTTCTTTTCTCTCCTGTATCAGTGCTGACAGCAGGAGTCAGGCAAGCAGAAAAAGGTACAACTTACACATAACATTGGAGGTGTTTCTAAACAAGTTCCTGGCCTGGCCCAAGTCAGCAGGATGTGGTAAATGAATACATACTCGTTTACCTGGCAGCCATGGTGATYTCACATTCTTGGCAGTGATGCTCCTAGAGGCTGACATTTCTGATTTAACCAGGTSTGTGAGGTTGAAGACAGTATATGGCCTCGCCAGGAGACAGACACTTGCCTGCTACCAGTCCCTCTTTGGTGTTCTTGCACCCTGGAGCAGCCTGACCTGTGACAGATTTATTGCAGTACCCTTGGGAGTGACAACTTTATGCTTCTTCTTTTGCTTCTTAGTTTGAACTATCTTTTTCCGGTTTCTTCCCTGAGGAAAGAATGCAGGATCTCCTCCTTTTGCATGCTTAGCAAAGTGTGTGTTCACACTACATGAAGTTGCTTTGCAGTATTGCATGGTCTTGACATAGCTTTGCAGAAAGGAAACGCAACAGGATGGGCTTGTCTTGAGATTTTGGTGAATTTGAGCTGCCTCCACTCCAAAAGAGCTCAAGAGGAGCAGCATAAAGTTTTTGAGAACTGGGTGCACTACTTGATACTATCCAAAAACTTCCACTGTCAAAGCTGAAAGATCTATTTCCCTAATTTACTGTGCWCCCTGTGCTTGAAACTGTGGTGTTTGAATGCAAGATCATAATTTCAGTTTATATTGAAAAGAGCACTTGCATGAGAGATCTGGGTGTCTCATGTTTTATTTTTAGAGTCATCTCTGAGTTACCATTTACTGACCTTTCTTTGCATTTGTCTCTCTTCTCTGGAAATGGCTTTTCTAGGTCTGTGGGGTCTATCCCTCTTCACAGGTCATTTAAATCTAGGTTGTCTTTTTTGCAGTTCACCTCAGTTTAAAGATTTCCTCAGCTTTGACAGAACTTTTTGCTCACTGGTTGCTGTAGTTCATGTGTTACTGCAATGTGATTTTATTAAAAAAAAGGCAAAAGGAGGAGATCATGAACTTAAACTTATGTGAGTTGTAGGAGAGCTCACCTATTGCCTGAACTTTCCTTTTCCTGTGAGCAGGGCTTTTTTTGCAATGACTTTTTCCTATTAAAAACAAAAAAAAAGAGCCTTGGTATTGCAGCTTTCTGTAGTTTAATAATTACCTTCACAGTTTGGATTTTTTCACTAGGACAGAGCTCTAAATTTGTCTTTCCTCCTTTTGGAAATGAGGCTTAATGACGGTCATGTTCCGTATGGTGCCCTTTTCAGCTGATCYTCTGCAAACATTCTTACTGTTCCCTCATTCTAAGCAAGTTTCTAAAATTAAACTCTGCATTTAGGAAGATTCTTCTTGCACACAGACTGGAGAGAGATCTGCATTTGTCTTCCTGCAATAGCCCTTTTCCTCTCAGTGTCCTCACCCATCTATTCCTCACCCATCTCAGTGCTCTACAGCTTTCCCAAGCCTTCTCCAGGTTTCCAGTGTTTCCCCAAAGATATTTCTACCCTTTCACTCTGTTTTTCTACTCACCTGCCTGCTCTAGTGTCTCTAAATCTCATCAAACTGAGCTGTCTCCCATGCCCCCCAAAGCAGCCCCTGTGAGATATGTGCTGGCTAAGAGATTCACCAGGGCACAGCCTAACTTGACCTTTCTGCCACTCAGAATCGGATTCAGTGATAGCAAATAAGGTTATAACAAATCAGGTTATGCCTAATTAGCTACCTGATTTTATGAATTTTATATATCTGTTCATGTATATCTGTGTATATATTTATACAGTCAATTCAGTTGAAATTGGCCAGAGTTCAGCAGTTATTAAATGGAGATTAATAAATTTACAATGTCATCTCATAAACCTTCATTCCTTAAGAAGGAAGATTGAATAATCACAATTTTATCACAATTTATTACACAAGTCAGTATCACAATTTTATCACTATTCAACAATGACAATTTTTGTCGTTTTGTACTGCTGTTAACTGTGCACAGTTTTCTAGATAAAAATATAAACTTTATAGATATTATATAAAGCTATGTATTTTTGTATATATAATACTATATATCTTGGTGTGTTTCTGTTACTAAGTTTAAAAGTAGAAGAAAACAGCAAAAACTTTTTCAGTCTCTTTGCTCTTGTTAATTTGCTGTAGTAGTTTAGTAAACCAGTGTGCTATTGATGCTACATGTGAAATCACAGAAATACACCCTGTTCTTTTTTGGAGATATTTAAAAAACCTTGATAAACTCCATGTAAAAAGCAGCCCTGTGGTCATCAGGCTTCCTAACTTCCCTTAAGAAACCACTCTTACAGTGGTAATTCAGTGCAGTGTGAGATAGGAGCTGAATCACATAGTACATTTTGATGTGGAAATAACCTGAACATAATTTAGGTTGCTGTTAAGACTCATGTATCAAGGAGTGTTTCCTTTGAATATTTTTTCATGTCATATCTTCTCTGTAAACCCACTGAGTACTTGTCAGGTTTGCCAACTCTAGGCTGCACATATGAATTAGTTTCGGGTTTCACTGCCAAATGAATAATTCTGAACAATCAAGAGACCCATTCATTCCTTTCTGTTACTGAAATCACCTCTCTTTTATAAGAAATAAGACAGGATGTTACTTGGAAAACCTTTACCTATCATTCTTCTATTAAAGCCTCTTTTCCCCTTAATCTGTCTCCCAAAATTAACTGTGTGAAGGAGGAGGGCTGTGTGTGAGACTCACAATCTATTATTAGCTCTGCTTTATGCAAAWTGGCTTAGGTTTTATTCATTTGTACTATGAGAGGAGAGATGTTAAGGAGCTTGCTCCCATGCATTTTTGTGTTCCCTGCACACTGCTGCCACTCCAGGTCCCCATATCCTTGCCAGGCTCTGCTTTGTGATGTTTTCTCTCCCCTTCCCCTCGCTCCCAAATCCTCTTCAAGCTGACCTTGCTGTCCTTTCTTCCCCCATCAGGCTGCTCTCTCTGCTCCTCCTTAAGGCTTATCCCTGCAGAAAGGTAGAGCTCACTGACTCGTGGTGCCTGTGGTGTGGCTCTGCTGCTCCCCCTCCCCAGTTCAGACTCCCTGGAAAGGGGATTTTGCTGCTTTGCTCCACGTTCGAGTCCTTTGTGTCCRTTGTTCTCTTCTGGCTGTCTCTCAGCCGTGCCAGGCAAGAGGAAATTCTTGCTTCAGAGCTGAAATCTTGACTTTCAAAATGTGCCTCGTTTGTGTCTGTGCTGGGAGTTGGTGCAGTCACCCAGTGTACTGTAAATCCATGYTTTGTTTTAGTGTAAGCAGATTTTCCTGCAGAAAAACAAGCCATAAWCTCAGGCTTCTGCTCCACGTCTCTCTTGTTTCGTTGGAAAATGTATGTTACCGAGCAAAGGCAGAATTAACCCCTTTCTGCCCTGAAACARTGATTGTCCCCAAGCTGGGATAGTGTTTCTCAGATCTGTAAAATAGATGTTGAGTATGGAAAAATCAAMTCTTTCAAATCCAAGTAGTTTTCTTCTGCTGCTTCTTCTGCTTGACCGTGTTTTCCTGGGCACTGGTCAGTCACAGGGTCCTCACAAGTGTACAGTCTGAACAGGCAAAGGAGGCAGGTAAAGGGAAGGTGAAACTGCTTATAAATATAGAGAAATGACAGCTGGGGAAAAAAGTGATTTGCCTGCTGTCTTGTAGGACGTTGATGGAACTGGATGGAAAGAGAAACCAAACTGTTGATTTCCAGTCCTGTGGGGTTTCTCCCATCCTCCATCCATTTCTGTTCCTAAACATGCTGTAGATTGGAAAGGGGGTGAAAGCTTTTTAAAATCGCTGAACTCGAGGCAGTCCAACAATTTTGTGTACACTTGTTTTGTGCTCCATAAGAGATGTCACTCATTCATGTAACAGAAGAACCGTTGCAGCAGATAGAAGCATCTCCATGTTACTTTCCAACCCCTTGTTCTTTGCCTTTTTGCTTTCTTGTCTTTTCTGGGATAATCCTGTTTATTCGGGAAGCCCAATAACGCTTTTTCTCCCTTTTTCCAGACGCCTATGCATGGACACCAAGAATATTCCTCCTCACCAGTATTCCAGATGCCGAGGACTTCAGCCAGGCAGCCCTCAGCACCTCCTGCTCAGCTTCCACACAACAGCCTTCAGGGCCAGGGCCTTTGCTACACCACCAGTTCCACTGAGGACCTCCAGCCAGGTCACTCCTCAGCCTCTCTTATCAAAGCAATCAGAGAAGAACTGCTGCGGCTTTCTCAGAAACAGACAGCAGTGCAGAACTTCCACAGCTGATTTAGCATTCCGTTGCAAATCTGCCAGGTATCTGCTTCCTATGGAAGCAAGGACTTAGAGGAAATCATCAATGTTGTTCTCAAAGGAAGGAATTTTCACAACTCTTTGTTGGCAGCACTCTGGAAAAATCGAAAAAGGCAGCAAAATGAGAATTGTAAGGAGAGATTAGGGACAAATGGGGAAAATCATCARCATCATCACAAGTAATGTTAATTAATCTGCTAATATTACGGTGCTCCTCTTCTCTCCTTACCCTCATTCAGCCTAACACATAAATAAAACCTTAGGTCAAGAACTCGATACTCCAGCAACAAAAAAAAAAACAAGACAGGAACAAACTTCAAGTATGATAGACTCCTTTTTCTAAGGAAGTAGGTGAAGTTTTGAATAAACTGAGATGACATTTTGCAAGAGATTACAAGTATTCTTATCTCTCCAGTGCTTACGGGGAACTGGTTTGTGTTGTTGTCCTGCAGGATTACAAACTGTATCAGCTCGAGGGTCTTGAAGGTCCGATATAAGAATCACTTTGGTTGTCAGGAGCAATGGGACTACTTAGAATAAAAGTCTTTATGAGTTACTTGTATCAAACTGGAACAATAATTGTTACAGCTCTGTGGTTCCGAATGGAGCTACCCTCTGCACTCTTCCTTGTTTTCCTTCTGGTGCTCAAGCTTCAAGTGTTCCTTCATCTTCAATGTTTGCAAAGTGAAACATTGGCCTTGTATAATTAAGAAAATATTTGTAGACTCATTCAGGCTGGAAAAACAAAGCAAAGCATCCAAACAGAAAGGGCTTGGTRTCTAATTTGTTTAAAATTTATTGAAAACTGGGTGGGGGGTACTCAGCCACATTGAATTTGGGGAAATGTGTGTGTATATCTTTAAAAAAACATATTGACAGACTAAATGCTCTTGCAAGAGCAGCGATGAAATATTGTCACTCTGTAGTTTGCTTTGTGGACAGAAACCAATCCAGCCTGACTGGTACAGGGTCACCAGCATTACGTTATAAATTGATGTCCTAAATCATTGCTTATGTTTGGATCTGAATAATTTTAGTGGAAGTCAGTGACAGTTTAGAGCATTAACATAGGCTTAGATTTGCAGTTTTGAGACAGTTTCTATATTTATACTTGTTTCCACCATCCCTTTGGACAAAGGGTAATAAGCGTTATCCCCATGGTAAGAATGGTACGTGCCATGGAACTGTTTGTCGCTGGTTTTTTTCAGAGTTTTAATTTAAAATTAGCTACGAATTTACTAATACTGGCCATTGCATCACTGTAACTGACACAACACATGCAGGCATTTCGCTGAAGTCACGGTTGGGGGGAGCGTTTTCATTTTCAGGTCAGAGTGAACTAAAACTACTGAACTGACACAGATTTGGAGGGCAGGCTCAGAGGCTTGGGAGCCCTACCCTGGGGGAATGAAAAGCAGAAGTGTGGGTGTTTCAAACACCAGCAGATGGTAGAGGTCAAGGGTCCAAGGAGCAGAGATCTGCCTGAGAGAACGCTGGGCGGTGTTTGCCTCGCTGGGGTAGAATGGCACGGTGAAATACAGGTGTGTAACACTGTACCATGGTCTGTGGCTGCCCAACCTGCTCCTGGCTCCAGTGCACAGTTCAGTCATTGCAACAGGACCAACTCAGCCTGAAATGAGAATATCAGCTGGGAGGACACAGGGGAAGAAGTCACCCCTGTATCTTATTCTTGAAGCATGTACATCGTGCTCATGGCCGAAGCCAAAACCTCAGTTTCCTCACTGATGTGGAAAAAAAAGGTGGTGTGTTTCCCTCTTTACTAGAAAGCTCAGCTATTTTTTCTGTTTACATGTGATCATCAAAAATGCTGTATGAAACTGTTTGGAGGGACTTAGTGTGATGAAGCAGCCTAAATTAATTTCCAGTTCCCTGGCCTTTATGTRAGCCCTCGTGGGCACCAGTTGAGCTTTGAAAGGAATCAGAACACCAGCACGGTTGTGACAGCAGTACCGACAGGTCATTATGATTTGAATTTTTTTTTTTTTAAGTTTTTTGTGTGATAATCAATTCTAGGAGCAAAATAAACATTTGTTTTCTGCCAACTTTGTAAACATGAATGTTGCCAATACTTTTGCAAAATGCCAGGTTTTGAAGAATGAAGAGTGTATCAGGCAGTGTTCATTTGGTGGTTTGGACAGTGCTGAAGACTGACTGTTGCTAAGTGTTCCCATTAAAACCATRTCTTTCAGACCCCATATCCTTCTCCAGCTTAATTCTGTAGTGAGCTCAGAGACCAATGCTAATATTAGCACTTTACTGGGACTTCATTTCAAGAAAAYGTGGGCTTCTCGGAGGTAAATTGTCTGGTTCCAGCTGTTTAAGAACAACTGTGAAATAAGAGCTCTGAAATTTAGAGGTATTTAAGCCACTTCTCATTCATTTTTTTGCTAGTGATGGTGATGCTGTTGTGAAATTACATCTTTTTATATTTGGACATATATTGTTTTAATTTTCTTACTAAGAACACAGGACAAGTACTCATAAATAAAAGAGGCATTCTGGTGGGAAAAAAAACCCTTTTTTTTAAACTTTGAACAGTATAGTAAAATATAAGAAGTCAGAAAGGTGTGTTTGGAAGTTCTCAGATTGGCTGGAGACCTGATCCAGTGTCCAAAAAACTGGTGTAGCCTAGTCTGTATCTCCATATGATGAGAAGACAAACATCAGTTACCAGTCACCAGTTCCAAGAATGGCCCTAACAGGGGAGACCCACACCTTTTGCAGCTGYAGGTAAAGCTGTTTTTGTCATGTGCTACAAAAGGATTCTGTGGAATGCGTGTGCCAGAATGTGTGTTCCCACTTGGAAATTTGGGGGGAGGAAAATCTGTAGGCTTCTGCATCCCCATGTGCTTAAGTTCTTTTGCCAATATTTTATTGCCCTGTKCAAAGGGGGGCGGAGAAAAACCAAACAAGCCTTTTTTTCTCCTGAAACTTTCAAGTATTCTGCATTTAAGTATCCATTAATGAATCTATCAGTTTCTGAAAACACCAATCAGATGAAAAGTTGGTGCAGGCACAGAAAGCTGTTACCAACAGTTGCATCCATTTCCATGACTAAGCCATCTGGTTCATGGAATCCTCGGGCTCTTCCCTTTCTTCACAATTTTCCTTGACATTTGTGTTTAGTCTGTGTTTAGTTTGGCGTATAAAAGAACTTGGCGAAGTGAGAGCCACATAATTTTCGTGGTTGGTTTCCTTTCCATGGCCAAAATATTGACCTCCAGCCTGCTTCTTTGATTATTTTTGGAGCTAAGTGAAATGTTACAGTTATTTTTCATACACTCGATGTGAAAGGTGGGGTGTTTCATTCAGTGCTGTAAAATATTCTCCACCAGGATGTAACACGTGGTCCTGGCTGTGGGCCTGGGGCTCAGGAAAGAAAACCTTGCTTTTTAGGAGGAATTAATTGCAGAGGTGCTGGACTGGAAATGTTAAATATGCCCACTTAGGAGCAGCAAATGGAATTTGAGAGACCCTTTGCAATGCACTGTCCTTGCAGTGGTTTGGATCAGRTGTTTGGGGAGCAGCAGTGTCACACAAGGAGTGGCTGGCGTGGTGGTGGCTACCCCAGCATGGTGCACACATAAATATATTGAGTGAGCACCCAAAARTGACTCCAAATTAGACCATGGAGAGCAGGGTTACAGCATCATCTCAGAAAGAAGCTGTGCACAGCGATCTTCCCAAGAACCACACCACCTCACACTGTTGTTAATTCACAGCCTGAAAACACATTTGATGGATTCCATAAGGAAACTGGGTGTAAATTCAAGCCCAGATGAAATCACCACTTACATTATGTGGATGGCAGTAGGCAGCTGGACTCATATTTTTAACTTCTACCCTTGTTACATTCCTCACTTTTCCAGCTATCACTGTTTTTAGCTCAAGGAAGAAATGTGCATTTTCTGTTTCRTGCCTTAAAGTCGCAGTTCTTTGTAAATAGGTGCCAGTCCTTGGAAATACCCTACTTTGGCCAAGAGCTTTGAAGGGGCACGATGAAGAGCATTTGTGACTTTGAGGTGGGAACGTGCTGTTTACCATATTTGTACAGATGCAAAGAAATTAATGGATCTTGCAAAGAAATAAATGGATCTTTTTAAAAATGGCACCAGTTCGGTGTGCTCTGAATATGAAAAAAAAAAAAGCTGAAAATTGAATAAAAAGAAAAAGGTTGACATCTGATTGTCAGAAAGTAAATTTAGGACAGCAACCAGGTGTCCAGGAACACCTGTGAGGATGCTCTGTAAAGAGAGAAGAAATCCTGCGGATTCCACTGAACCCCCTCAAGCTGAGTCTGTGACACAGCTCATCTTTGCAGGGCTGGTTTGTATGAGTGAGGAACACCTTTCRTCAGTGAGATTCCCAAAAGCAGCTTCCCCTGGCTGTAAAGTTTCTCCAGGATTGTTTGGATATGCCTGGAGAAAAGCAGCAGGTTTGAATGCTTAAAGGTGGAAATAAAAATCCAGTTAGCTTTCATGGAGGGCATATTTTTCTCTTCCCGTTAGATTTTATTTAAAAATGGAGGAGGCACGATGGGGATGCATTTTGCTGTCACCAGCAGGATGTTTTCAGTGAGAGCAGAACTGGCTCAGGATTGCACTACAGATCCAGATGTTGCTCTGCATGCTGCCCCTGGCTGCATCTGCATGACTGGAAATCACGTAATCACACGTGTGCTTTGGAAGAACTTCTCTTACAGTTTGGGGTGCACTTGGCAAGATGTTCCAGTTTTCACTTACAAAAGTCCCAGGGTGAGTTTATTCACACAGTGCAAAAAACTTGAGAAGCAAATGTTCTGTGGAGTTGCACTGTCTTTTTAAAGAGACTTTCCTGGAGTAGAGTTGCAGTCCCATGAATTCCACTGAAGACTGATAGACTAAAAAAAAAAAAAAAAATTACATTAGTATCAGAAAAATACACATTTCTTTGCACTTCGTAGTTTGTAGAGATGGAATGGTTTGTCTTGATTTTGTGTTGCTTTTTCTTGATGCCTTTTACATATCAAATTATTTTTTTTTTCCTTTGTAATGGCCACTCCTGTTTAGTTTTAAGTAGTTCTTGCTCCATAACTGGAAGTTTGTGTTTAGGCTGTTACATCTTAACTGGAATAAAGTGTTGGCACATTTGAACTAATGCTCTGTAAGAATCTTTTGAAACAAATGCTAAACCTTGGATCTCCCTTACATGGTCGTTTTCAGGATCACTTGCAGAAATCTGCTTAATGCCACATTTAGAGGAGGTGAAATGAAATGAGAACTGAAGATCTGAAAGATGAAAATTGTTGTTTTTTTATATATTTCCAGAATATTAAAGTATACACACTGCTGAAGAGCTTTGTTCCCAGGAAAACTTCCATCCCAAGGCTTCTTGGAAGTTGGTTTCCTCATCCAGGCTGARGGAAGGTTTTAGTGCTGTGCATGATTTAAAAGTAGTAGCTGCATATTGCTTGTGTTTCAGGAAAAACTTCTTTTTGTGTTCAATGAGAATTAATGCTGTGTTATTTTTGGCAGTGCACAGCACTCTTGATCCTGAAACACAGATCCGAAAGAAACTTGACTAAAGAAATAAAAATTTTTAAAACACTGCAATAATGAAAAAGCAGAAAGCTTTTATCCTTGGACTTGAGGAAATACGAATAAGAATTGTGGATTAGCCACTGTCAGTAGTAATTCAGGGTGGTCACCAAATAGGCATCACTGAGGCAACATTGCTACAATTATCTGACTCTGGCAGGGAGCAGAGCACCTTTTCCTGCAGCTGAAGGAGCACTCATGAGCATTATTTACTCCTTTTTGAGGAGGAGCTWATCACGTGTTAGTAGGGTGTTAGTATTGCTCATCTAAAGCACAGCRATTTCTTCATGTATTTGACCCCAGAGGGTTGCTGCATGAGAATTTGGGTATTTCTGAACTGATCTGGCTTAAATGTACAAAATATTGAAATGCCATGAAGGGGGRACAGTCTGGCAGAGGTGGCTTTGYRGGTGTCTSTCTTCCCTTCTCCCRTTTAGRCAAAGCAGACAGMTGTGGAAGACCTGAAGAAATTCCTYAACTTTTGCACTGAAAATCACTCWTYGACATCGTCCTGTCAAATTGGACAGGAAAAGTCTCAAGTCTCTTAGAGCTGTAWTTTTTTCCAAGCAGTTTGCAGACTTGGAAGACCATGCTGCATTGTTTAAACATTGTTTACAGTGTTTTATTTCAGAAAGGTAGTTAGAAAATAGGAGTTGGGAATTAGCTCATTGAACATGTTTGATTCTGGAACAGAAAATTGCAGTGAGTTTTGAATTCCACAGCAGAGACTGGAACTGCAGATACCACAAAATAAGCAGAATCTGGAGTGCAAGAATGAGAGAGTGGTTGCTTCCCAAGAATGCCTTCTGTAATTAATGACTGTAATTTTTTTTTTTTTCAAATCCTAGTTTTTGTGAAGACTTCATCAAAATTCCTACAGAGTCCCAGCACGGAGCACCTTTTCTTATGAATTTAACCTCTGCCTTTTGTCTGTGTGTTTCATKCGAGTAGGGAGCTCTGATGCTTGCCAATTTTCATTCCTCTAGTGATTTGGCAAAGTGTAATCATTGTAAAGTGCAGTTGCTTAATATGTAGCTCATTCACTAAACCCCGAGGATCAAGGCAGTGAGTAATGTGAGTCATTACCMGAGCAGCAGCATCTGAAAGGATGAGGAGTCATGCATCAAGTACCAATCCATTTAGTCTTGAATTAAGAATTTTTATAAAATCWCTGGTTGGATGTAATGGGTATTATCTCCAGGCCAATTAAAGCAGTAACGCTGCAATGCTGTGCTGCTGCTGCTGCTGGTTTTCTCCTTTGTTATGCAAAGTGCTGCTCAGTTACCTGTCCCCACTGCTCTGTTTGTCTGTCAGCCTTTAAGCAGCTTTCCCAGGTGCTCCCTTCCCTTCCCTTCCCTTCCCTTCCCTTCCCTTCCCTTCCCACCTTCATGCCTGCGATTCAGAAACTTTGTCCAGAAAACAGGAAGAACTTTGCTGACTTGGTTCATATTTGTGTATTTCAGTCTATTTCAGTCACACTTTTCCCAGCCATCCAGGTTTCAACGATTTTCTTGCTTTTCTTTGCACTAAATCATAAGAGCTAGGAGTAGATTATTTTTTTCTCCATCTCATTCCAGTGAGGAACTTTTTGGTCCTGGAAGGTCAATAACTATGAATGACTGGAGCATTAACATTTCCATCATCATTTGGAGCTATCACCTGAACTTTTTATAAGTTTGGAGATGTGCAGGTGCCTACACCAGCTCAGTGCCATCAGTCTGGTGGGCCACGCAGGTTTAACATAAAAATTATTTATTCATGCTGATAAATCAMGGGTTATGCTTTTCTTCCAAGGCTTCCTTATGGGAAAAAAAATGACAGGATTCCTGAATTAGAGTGAGAAAAAAAAAAAAAACAAACCAAAGAACAAATGAAGGCATGTGCTGGGTGTTTGTGTAGCTCTGTTGAAGTCAGCAGGGGTTGGGCAACATTGCACTGGATGGGATCTATGATTGGAGGTATTATATTGTCAGTGATATTATCAAGAGTGTGAAATAAATGAGAATATCAGTCTGCAGCCTTACTCATGGACTGCTTTGATAAGGCATAAGCCACAACAGCATTGTACCATGTCTGTAATTTGTGCATCAGAACCAGATCACAGCCTTCTGTGCCTCAATTGTTCTAAAATGAGGGGTTATAACCCACAAGCTGTGCTTCTGGGTGTTCCCTGGCTGAAATTACTCCAGGAAATGTAACAGCAGACTACAGATCATCTTTAAATTTTAGAAATCAGGTATATGTGATCTGTTTCTGCATACTAATTTCTGCCTTTACATCAATTCCTCAAGTGTTTCTGATGCAGAATTTTAATCCAGTGCTTTCTGTAACTGCTCCTAAGTCCCTGGAACACTGACAGCACCATTAGGGCTTTTCTCCTTTTTGCACAGTGGGTTGTTTTGCATTGTACCTGAGGTTGCCCTTTGGATCAGAACAGCACACCATGTGTGGGACGTTGGAGAATCCCTTTAAAACTGTATTTTGGGGTTTTGCACTTGTGTAGGTGATGCCTTATCTGGCTTACCTAAAACAGAGGCTGGACAAAATTGAGAGACTAAAAAGCAGTTCTATCTATTGCAGGGCCTTCAGGTGCATCCAGGGCAGTCCCAACCCACCCACAATGGACAATGGCTCACGGGTTTTTCACCCTTTCTCACTTTTGTCCATTTGCACATCGGGGCTGAATCCTCCAATTGAAGTCATTGGCTCCAAGTTGGCTCCCCCCAATTCTCTGTTGTTTTCATCTTTTGGGGCCTGGCATAGTGAGGTGTCCTTGAGTTTGGGGCTTGCAGAGGAATTGTTTTGGGTAAAAATGGGAGAGCAGGAGCTCAGCACTGTCTGTGGAGTCTGGAGTTATCCACTGAAGAATTACAGGGGTACAAAGACATGGAAATAGAGAAGCTGAAATCCTGAGGCATCATAGAAACAGATAAGATGTTTACATTGATGGCTTTGGGGCATGTGGAACACTGACACCTTTTTCGGGTACCCCACACACACTGGGAGCAGCAGTACCTTCATCAGATTCATTACAGGACTTTGTTTTTCTGAGTGACTCCRTCAAAAGATTTGAAAAGAAGCAGCTGTAGATCAAAGCCAAACAGTGTCAGATGTCAGAGGAGGTGATGCAGTAACTTGTCATGTTAGATCAGGGATTTTCAGGTCACTGATCTAGAAAAAGTCTACATTTCACTGCAGAAATTATCTGTAGGGTACTCCATTTTTATACGTGATTTTGTGGAGACTCAGGTGTCTTTGAACCCTCCAAACCCTTGAAGGCACTACATTATATGAAAAAATGTGTTTTTTTTTTTTTTTTTTCCTTTTCTCCCCAGTTTGGTTGAGTTGGGAATAGTCAAAGGAAAATGCGAGAAGCAAAAGCTGAGGTTTAARTCTGCTACAATCCTTGATGGTATCTGCACTGTTTTGGAGGGTGTGAAAAACAATCAAACTGCTTCTAAAGGCAGATTTTAGGAAGCCCTACAGAATTGCCCAGGTGTTGGAAGCTATTTGTGGCTGCTGCTCTTTAGAAGACATCTAAAACATA